GGAGTCAGCATCGCAAAATCATCGACACAGGCGCAAAAGCGCGCGACGGCATGGGCCGTTCCGCATTCAGACGCTCAATCGCGAAGGAGATGCCGTATTTTCACGTGTGGTTTACGCTAGATGGCGGATTGGGCCATGTAGTTGAAGATGTGGGTCGCTGGCCAAAGGGCGATCTTTTCGCGCGTGAAGTCCTGGGGGGCATTGTTGATGCAGAGCCGCATGTTATGAAGAAGCAAGGGCGGTGGATGAGGGGCGATCCTAGAGTGGAGGGCTTCAAGAAGGGATGGCGCAAGTTTGATTGGACGAGGATGCTTGCGGAGGGATAATTTAATTTAATTAAAGCAGAAGCGTCGAGGTATCATTGAGCGAAGCTATCATTAAGCGTTGATATGTAAAAGACATTACATGGGACATGGCAGTCCTCGAGATTAATGTTATATAAGAAACAAACGAGATGTCATACTCCAACCTTGGTCCCTCAACCAAACCAAGCATGAAGCCCGTCTCTCTGGGGTATCGGACAAGTATGTCAAAATATCACTCTTATCGCACGAGCGTCCCTCGTCGTCCCCTCTCGCGATCTTTCCTCCCATCTGCACCAGTGACCTTCATCCAATCCTCCCACTCTTTACTCATCTCCATGAGCACTGAGCCCATGACACTAGCGCTAGCCATGAGACCATGGCCTTCACCCTCGAGAACACGAACTTCGCAGCGCCGCATCGTCTTGCCGAGCCATTTTACATTATCGACGGGAACGCGGGTATCTCTGCTGCCATGGTGGATGACGACGGGTCTTGTGATGTCGACGTAGCGGAAGCCGATTGTGTGACGGCGCTCGAGGCAGACGAGGAGGTCGACGGCTGGGTTTGCGCCTGTTGTGGCGAGTTCCCAGATGGCGTGGGTTAATCGGAGATCGTAGGTCATCTGGCGTTCCTTGTCCGCCATGGCGTCCGCTGCGGCTGCGATGATGTCCGAGTCGCCTCTTGTGCCTTGTGGAATGCTCATTCTGTCCATGTTCTCGGAGGCATTAGGAGGTTCTAGTTCTGCGTCGCCGTGACCGGGTGATTTGTTATACACGTTCTCTTTATCCAAGCTCGGCGTAACGTTACGCGAACTAGCTGTGCTGTCTCGCCCGCCATTATTCTTGCGCTTTCCTCGCCGTGGTGTTTTGGGTAATGAACTAGTGATTGAACTGCTCGTCGCAGTCATGAAGCTACTGTTTGCAGCTTTCAGTATGGGCGTCGGCAAGGCTCTGAGAATTCGTTGAGAAGTAGGGATAGCGTTGGTTGGTGGGAGAGTTTGTGAGGTACCGAAGACGTTCATTTGGGATGGAGGGATCCAGGGCGCGAGGAGGTGTATTCGACCGCGGATATGTTGGGGCATTCGAAGGGCTGTAGCAAGTGCATAAATGGCGCCGGCGGAGTGAGCAAGGATGGAGAACTTGGTGATCTTGAGGGTCTGGCAAATAGCATAAACATCATCTGCAACAGTTAGCGCGTACTTCTCAATTGAAGGAACTTAATTTACCTGGCCAACTCAGCGGCGTAGCAGTGCCATCAGAATAAGGCTCGCTATCGCCAACACCCGGTCGATCCGGGGTAATAAGCCGCAGCTTCAACGTCAGTGCCAGCTCATCATAAAAGGCGGTGATGTATCTCGTCAATCCCATCCCAACGCAGCAAAAGACTGCAGAACCTTCAGAGTCACCGACTTCTGAGAAGGATATGACGCGGCCCGTTTGAGGATGTCGAATCTTCTGCGATAAACGTGGTGAACATAAATAAGACTCGACAGCATCGTCGACAGAGTCGGCGGATTGAGGACGCTCGTAACCAGCCGGAGCATGGTTCTGCACTGGTTGGGGACTGGGTGAATCGCGGGCTCGTTCGTCGACTTTGTGATTCAGTGGTGCAGACAAACGCTTCAGGCGGGAACTGCTGCGCTTAATTTTGATGGCCTCATTTGGTGCTGGGCTCTGTCGTCCGGATCGTCTCCGATCATTGCGGTCATTACTCTGATCCCGCTTTCGACCTTGAGCCACAGCAGGAAATGGCGCGCCCTCATCTTCTTCGTCGCTGAAGCCGTCATTAACATCGAGGAAACTTCTGCCCGCCACGCTGGTGCTCTTTGACGGAGATGCGTCCTTGAGACCATAAACTGGTGATCGTGTGGATGATCTGGACTGAACATGGCCAGAATGACTCTGGTTCCTTCGACTTGACTCCCGATCTCGAGTTCTGTGCTCCTCGCCTTCTGGAATCACATCATTCGTCGTACCGTCCTCCCGTCTTGACCTCCTCGCGCTCGATCTCTTCTGCGGACCCGTCTTTGCAAGACTCGAATTCCGCGCGGGGATAGCACAAGGTGCATCCATCGGGCGTTCAATTGGTAGCTCGTAATGTGACTCTTCACGGATCGCAGTCTCAGCAAAGAATGGATCACTACGCCCACCGCTGTGAACACTTTCGCCAGGAAGAGCACCAGAAGATGAAGCCGAGACTCCACCCGAAACCCGCTTCCTCTCGGCTTCCTTCTCCCGCAGACGCTCCTTGGAACTCATGTACATAAGGCCCTTTTGACCCCTTGTTGTTTTCCTACCCCAGCTATCGTGTGATTGCTTGTGGTTCAGTTCGGGGGTCGAGGCACCGCGACGTTCGATCGAAAGGTTCCCTATACTCTGGGCATCATCGTTCTTGGACGCAGCTGAAGATCCTTTTGACGACGGTCGTGATGTACTATTTCGGATAAAGGATCGCAGGCCACCGGAACCTTCGCGGCTTGGACTTCTCGGACTTCTAGGGCTTTTTGTTGCTGTCAAAGGTGAATAGCCGCTGGGGGGTTTCGAAGTGCGTATGACAGGAGGTAACGCCGCGAGTTCGTCGAGTGACACGGGGTCTTGTCTCAGATCGTCGAGGCTAGGCTGATGAAACGCTCCGTAGTCCACACCAAAGCTACCGTTCCCGGGACTCGCGGGTAGTGACAGGCTCGTGGGCGATGCTTCGAAATGGTTCGTCGCAGGCCTCGAGATGACGCTGAGGCTGGTGATTAGGTTGGAGATGACTTCGGGGCTGGCGGGAGGAAGACCAGAGTTGCGCTTTGAGGAGGAGGGGCCTTGGAGAGAGCGTCGTCGAGAATGAGCGTGGTGATTATGGGCGCGCGTAGGGATAGGGGGAATATCAGCCGAGTCAAAATCCATGGCTAGGGCGACGGACTCTAGGTCGAGTCACGAAAAAGAAGTGGATGTCAAGGGAGGGAGGCGGTTCACGATGCTGTGTCTCGCGGGTCGACGATAGTGTCTCGCGCAGACAAAGGGTGGCGCGGCTTCTCACCCTTGGAATAAGGGATGAGTAAAAAAAAGCGTCACGATGAGGGAGGATTCTCTCTCTGGGGATATTAGCTCGTTCGGTGGAAGTGGTGATGGTGGATCGCGGTGGCTGTACTAGGAATATTAGATTGAGCCAAGTGGGTTTATCTTCCGATTTGTCGCGTGGAAGGACAGAGAAGGGAGAAAGAAGGAAACGAAGCCAGCGAGAGAAAAGATAACAACAGGAGACAGATCAACAGCGTCAAGGATAGGTTGGTTGGGCTAGGTAATAGTTTGGTGGTCGCGCAAATGGAAGTTGGTTGACGAGGAGAAGCGAAAAGACAAAATGGGAGAGGGGGCAAGGCTAAGCTAGGGGGGAAATACAAGAGGCTAAGACAAGGAGCGTGGGCCAATCAATCAGCCTTAGAGCCCAAGACTCATATTGCAGCTGAATTTGTTCATGTTTTTAGACTCTACTACAGTCGAGAATAGATGAATGAAATGGGAAAAGGACAAGTCGAGATTCTGGGGGAGGAATGGTTTCAACATACCACGCCTCAAGGGGCTGAAGGTTACCTTACCTCACTCTACGTGCCACGGACGCTATCGCCAACTCGGGAGTTTGCGTCCCGACGGGAAGTGCGCATGACCAAGAGTGACAAATCCCCAGACCAAGAAAAACAAGACAGAAACACTTAGTTACAGATCTCATTCTGTTTTGTTTATCACTGTGCCTCTCTCGCGCACCCATCCTCTGTGACAATGCACCCCTGAGTCCACTCTCTGGACCCCTGAAAGTTAAGTTCTTCCCCTGGAGCTTATTCCATTCCCGTTAGCCTAGACCCTGCACCAAACCAACGATGAATCTAGCATTCCATCTCGTCACCATTCCAATGACTCCATCTAGAACGCCAGTTTCACCTTTAAACTTTAACCTGTTAGCAAAAGCTAGAAGGAAAATCTAGAAGTCTTGGTGAATACATACTTGGCTGGAGGTTCTGTGATCTGCGACAGACGGACGGGTCAATTAACTGGAAACTCCACTGCTCCACAGCGGATGTTCGTTTTAGACTGGAGCTGTCTGGGTTAGAGTAGACCAATTTCATCCAATGTGCTAGGCTGCGCTGAGTGACATATCACGGAGTATAATTGACTGTATAATTACCGGGAAAAGAGACGGAGAGATTATTTGTTGATATTGGTTTGTTGTTATTGCCAAGCATGGAACCATGGCCATTATTTTCTGGCCCTGGTGCTTATTTGTCTCCCTTGCATCTGTTGGTACGGTACCTGCATCGAGTCCATCGAGCATCGTCTCAATTGCCGTTGCTCCAAGTTTACAGGTTCGACCGGTCTAAAATTGAGATCCCCCGATATTGTCAGACGATGCCAGTTGGAGATGACATCGAGATCGCTTCATTTTAGGCTGTTCTCTTCATTGCCTGCATGAGACTTCATCAATCAGATTTGTGGCTGGCTGCACATTAGCCACATCGACGTCATTCCCCAGCCCCAGATTATCATCCCAAATCTCCCCAGTTTCCAGGATAAAAACCAACGCGACGTCATGCCAATGAAACAATCCTCGCCCGTTCACTAAAATAAACCCCCAAAAATTAAGCAACATATCTCGTGGCATTTCCAATCTAAAACTCTACATCTGCGCCACAACTTAATACCCATCTCACTAACAATGGACGTTCTTCTCTCCCTCCCAATACTATCCTACCTCCTCTCCCCCGCCTCAGCATCATGGTCCACATCCTTCAACATCTTCTTCTTCTACGTCCAGTGGACGACCTTCGTCCTAACCCACACGCCCTTCCGCGTGCGCCTCATCGGCTCCCTCGCAATGCGCATAATACTATTTCTCTTCCCGTCGCTTGTGTCATTACTCTTTGATACAGGCGTGCCAAGCATCGCCGAGTCGATCAAATTTGGCGGCCGTGCTTCGCTTGCCCCGCGGGATGCGCGCTTGCTTACGCGACAGCTGGGTCTCGTGCTGGTGAACCTCTTGTGCGTGACGTTGCTGGAGGGCGCGTCGCATTTGGCGTTTAGATATCTCGTTGGTGAGAATGATTTTAATCCGACGGCGTTGCTGCCTCTGCCATGGCAGCTGGCGAAACATATTGTGCTTATGATGACGGGGCGCGAGGTGTTGACTTATTACATTCATCGCAATCTTCTTCACTCCAGCGGCGCCATTGGCAAGCTTCACAGACGCTTCAGTCACGCACGATCAGCAGCGCCGTACAGTCTTCTCGTATTTGCAGATCACCCCGTCCCCTTTCTTCTGCATCATTTCTTCCCTATGTACCTACCCGCCATCGCCCTGCGCCCTCACATGGTAACGTACTTCCTCTTCCTTGCGCTCTGCACGGTTGAAGAGACAATCACCACGTCAGGGTACACTGTCGTCCCTGGCATTATCATGGGTGGCATGACGCGTCGCAGAGCAATTCATTACGCGAGCGGAGGCGATTGCAATTTCGGTGCCTGGGGAGTTCTGGACTGGGCGAATGATACGGGAAAGGGGAGGGATGTACTCGATGATGTGAGGGCTGAGGCGGACAAACATAACGTCAAAGAGAGGTCGGCGAACAAGTTGAATAGCGGTGTGAGTGCTCTTCAGGGAGGGATTGACAATTTAACGAATGGGGACGATGACGGTAAGAGGAGGAGTTCGCGATTGAGAGCAAAACGCGCGGGCAATTGAATGAGCCATTCTTCCGATTGACATTAAAGTCGTTTTCCAGCAAATAACGTGCAGCCATCTAAGTGTACAAACTCCCATCCGTCCCATTGCTTGTTCCATCTATTTATATCCCATCTTTTTGGCAAACCAGCTGAGCGTCTCAATGCCGCTCTGTACTCTCATGCCAATTCTGGTGTCCAGCACAAAGGTCTCCCATACCTTGGCGACATCCATTTGCTTCACACACTCGTCGTACTTTTCTCGTCTGTACGCCGCGATCTCATCCGGTGTACCCTCGGGAGGATTGCAGCACTCTGACCATGCGATGGCGCCTTTTTCGTACACTGCTGCGGCGAGGACGTAGTCATCCTTGGTCGGGCCCTTAAATGCGAGACTGACCTTGTTAGACGGTGCAATGTGAAATGTGAAACTTGAACTTACCGGTCAAACTTAAAGACATGCGTCTCTAACAATTCCCTCGCTTCGACGAACTGTTTCTGATTGCGGAATAACGAGGCGCTGATGAGCGCCCAGGCTCCCATCTCATCAACCTCAGCCTTGATCTTATCGACGACCTCCGTCTTAGCAGTACATCTGTCCCAACTGATTCCCCCAGCTGCTTTCTCTAGCTCAGCGGGCCCCATGCGCTTGATGGTGTTCCACATGTAACTCATTTCCAACGCGGGACTGGGCCCAATCGCATCAGCGAGATCGACGCCAAAGCTCTTAGCGCGGTCCTCCCACTTCTGTATCTTGCGCTGGACAAACACTTCGAACGGCAACTGGCGCGCCATGAAGCGCTTCTTACCCGCTACACCTGGCGCCTTACGCAGGTATTCTTCCGCTTTGACTTTTTGGCGGCGCGCCTCATCCTTGTCTCCCGCGGCAACGGCGTCGCGGTAGAGTTCGACGGATGCGATGCCTGCCATGTAGTAGTACAGTGCGTGACTCCAGTCGTTAAGCTCGAGGCATCGCATGAAGGAGTCGCGCATAAGAGGCCAGTCTTGAATGGCCATTGAATTGAGCGAGAGCTCAAAGTTATTGAGTGCGGTGACCTGCTTCATCTTGGACTCGCCGCCGGTGGTGAGGACTTCAACGGCTTTGGGGAGGTCACGCTCATTGCTGTGTAGGCGCGCCTCTTCAATGAGCCAGAGTCGCGAGTCGGGGTATCGAGAGCGCATCGATGCGAGGAGCTTCTCGCATTTTTCTCGTGGAGGCCCGACGATTTCAGCGCCCTCGTCAAAATCTTTTGCATCGGGGAGAATGTCGACTGCGCCGAGGAGAGCGTTGTAGTAAGATAGCAGGACAAGACCGGCAATGGCACCGTTGACGTTGGCGTAAGCAGTGGAGCGCCAGAGCATACGAACGCCACGCTCACGATCACCACGGAACCCGACGACGGAAAGAAGACGAGTGAAAGCGGGAGGAACGAGGGTCAACATGAGAAGGATCATACCAAAACACATGTTGGCCCCGGAGTGGACAAAGATGTCGAGAGGATTTTCAAGCAGAACAGAGTCGGACTCGGTAGGCTTCGATCGAGCCTCACGCAGAGGTGCACCTTCATCAATCTTTTCATCTTCAGTGGTTGACGAGCTTGAAGAGTCTCCGTTTGCAGGAGTCTGTGTTCCAGAAGCTGATTCAATGTCAAGCTTCTCCATACTCTTATTCAATTCGGTAACAGGCTTAGCGGACAGCGATGCCTCTGAAGTTGACTGAGGCATATCCTTGAGTGTTTTCGCCTCCGCCTCAATAATTGCATCAAGCGTCATGAACGCCTTGCGAAGCTTAAGAAAACTCTTCATCGCGTCGATGAGACTCTCATGCAAAACACCCACTACAGCGCCCATGAGCTGCGTCTCCGCACGAACGAGCTCGAATTCTGTACCGGGAGGATACAATTTACTCCCCGCACGAGCCTTGCCATGCTTCTGAGCCTTTTTGTAATCCGCCCAGGCCTTGGCTTCACACTCATCGAGCTTGGTGGTAGTTTCGGTCATGACGGCTTTTTCAAAGCCCAGCACGGAGCGCATGAAGATGGTGACTGCCAGACCTAGCTGGTGAAAGGACGAGTCTCCTGTCTGCAGCTTCTCCCATGCTCCGTCGATATCGTCGTTCATGATGAGGCCGCACGATGCCATGGCGTCGTCAATGTCTTCCATCTCTCGGGCCATGGTATCCTTGGTGGTGATTGAACCGGCATCGCTGTTGGCCTCAGTGGCGGGCGTCGCGGTTCCAGATCGGAACCAACCCGCTAAACGACTCATTGTGCTTAATGCGCAGAGTCTAATTGACTAGGTGAGATTGCGATGGGAGGCTATTCTGGTGATATACGTGCGAATTGATGCTGAGCCTCGAATGCTGACGTCTTAGGCTGAATGAGGGATCTTGAGCCCCTCTTTGTGGCGTTTACCCAGATGCTGACAGACGAGACGGGACCATCCGCTTTAGATTTTGTGATGATAACATGCAGATTGAAGATAGTCCGTAAGAATGAAGCTTCAGGACAGGAAGTGAGAGGTTTTTGAGGTTGAGTGAGAGAAAAAACCACTCGTAATGCTGAGATCAAAAATTCAGTTCCACCTCATAGATAGCTTCTGCTTATGCAGGTAAGCTAAGCCTCCTAAGCTTCCTGTCCCCACCATATCCGCGGAGTTTAGGCGGGCTTACGCATGAGCTCGGGGCCAATCGGAGCTTGAGACTGACATCATCAGTTGTGACTCCAGGTTTGGATAAAGATCTTGTGCTTTATACAGCTCGATTAAAGAATTGTACTGTATTTCCTATCGCAGGCTCTTGAGTTTTGACTCTGCTCCGTTACACGCAAACTTGTGAACGTCCTGTTTATTCAGCGGCTCGTATCTTATCTCCGCCCTGAGCCAATTGCCACGTAAGGTAGCTTGTTGACGGATATCGGAGAAGAAGAGGGTCCGTCGATTTTATGGCCCGGCTTTTTCGGATACTCGGAACGGACGAGTCTCCCGTGCTTATGCTATAGATTACCGAATTAATGGCCAATGATAATCAGAAGTATTGAACACTCTATGCTTGAGGTCCGATGCCTCCGCTGTGATCAAGTTGCGTCATTCAGTTTGCGGTTCGTTGAGTCTACAGGTCTCGAGAGCCAACGAAGCCAAGCAATCAATGCCTCGCTCCATGTTTGTCAGACTAACTGCCTCAATGGTAAATGATGAAAAGAACCCTGTTTTCATATTTAGCAGCTTCAGCTGTTAATACTGCTGTGTCTGGTCTCTGGACTGCTCTGTAGAAGTTCAAGCCAGCTATGAATTTCTGGATGATCGATGTCCCCAGACGTCGTATCTTTAACACTCGGCTAGTTCCCCAGAGCCACAGAGGAAGGGAGCAAGGCTCTCGAAAAAAAAATACTCAACGGGTTTGAGCCTTGGTCTTCTCAGCCATCCTCACATAAAGACAGTTCATGGCATGCTACACTGTTTCTTCTAGCATGCATGCTTTCTGCTATGCCTGCATTGAGAAACCTTCTGCCTGATGAAGCGCATCATGTAGTACCACAGTGTTGGACAGTATGTAGTGGTTCTAATTTTGAATCCCTCAGCAATGTTGTAGCAACTTTAACTATCAAAAAGGTTGTACAAACCCTAGTCAAGACACATCGAGGAATCCTCTGGTGTTTAGGGTATTCACTAAGAGAAAGGCCTGGCCTTGACAGGGAAGAATGTGAGGGCTTTGGGTTAGACATGCAAAGCTTGTCACCTAAGATAATAGTAGACTAAGGATATAGACAAAGAGATAGTAGTGGCTAGGTAAAGGATGCCACCAGTCAAAGATCCGCAGCAATAATGAGAGTCCGAGAGAGGCTGTGTTTGTTCCGGAAATAACTCACAACAGGCGATGCAAATGAATCTAACCAAATACGGCTAGCTAAAGTCGATCGTTTCAACAGCTGGAGGCTCTGAACAACCAGAATCATGTAACTTCACTCATCTCCGGGCACATAAACTATTTTGAATAAGATCCTAAAGCATTCTGCTGTGTTAGGAAATGAGATAGAAATTTAAATGCCATGAAGCCTGTCGTATTTGATAGTAGGTGCAGCGTCCTTGGCCAAATACCAGTGTTTCCAGGTCTCGGGACCGAGAAGGATCGCAACAGGGATGACGCGAACCAATCACACTAGAGCTAAGTCAGATGCCCCAACTTCGCCTGCATTAGTGATAACCAGTGAGACATGAATGCGAGATGTCACGAGAGGAAAAGTGAGAGACTCGACGCTTGTTTGAGCGTTGCTAATGCTATCAAATGTTCGATTACCCCCGTCTACAGAAGGTCAAGAGGTTACAGCAGGACAAACATTCAAATCTTGATAACGCTTGGTAATGTGAGCTGAGTGAGATGAAACATCTGTGATAGGGTTGTCGATCCTAGTGTCTTGAAACCTGGGGGCTGAGACACTGAAGGAGGCGGGCTTCTCATTCTACTGGGCCATTTAGTGATTACCTCACTACCGTCTTTCCAGGGATGGTCCATGTTGGCGACTTGTTGTCTACTGGTGAAGATCTTGATTTCAGAAACTGCGTGAAGGATGCTTTAAGAGTTTTTCGCTATAACCACCGAAAGGTTTGTATCTTAAAGATCCCCGCATGCTGTAAATTTATACAACCTTCATTTGAGGATGGTTTAATCAGCAACAAGTCTCGTCTACACAGCCTGTTGACAACGGGGGCCAATATCTGTCTGACACACCAAGCCACTTACTAGCGGAGACTAGATGAATGGCGAGGCTCATTCCCGCTTCTTAATTAAGGACACTTGCAGGATGTCGATCCCTGTAATCCATCCATTCCGCCCACCAGTAGAAGGATCGACAAGTAAGCTATAAGATGTAATAATCTTTTGTGTCGCGTGTCGTCTTTTCTTCGCTCTCTTTTCTCTTCCGCACAGTAGAGTTCCGTCCTTGTAACGTGAAAGATGGCGACTCGTCGATTACTTGCCATACTGGCATTTCTATCCTTTCATCATGTGGTGACCGCTGCATTCACGAACCCGCCACCGAGCGACTCTAGCATAAATAACCCCCACTATAAGCTGGGGGAGGAGATCAAGATTACTTGGGAGACAGATGCGGAGTTCACTGATCTTACGATGTGGCAAACCGGCACTGGCAAGAGATACAACCTACAATGTAAGTTTATTAAAAGTCAGTAATGAACTGTTGGTTGACCCGTGTTTCAGCAAACAGCAAATCGAAGGAGTACATATGGATCGCATCATATCAAGGCATCGACCCCGCGGACGGAAACTCTTTTAGTCTCTGGCTTTTCAAGACTGGTGACACAGGGGCTCTTTTTGCGAGTCATACATTCAACATCACCGATCCCTCGTCCGCGACAACTTCAGCGCCAACGGGTACACGAACAAACAAACCAAATACGAAGACAAAGACCGGCCAAGCAAGTGAGACGGAGACAACTGCGGCCACTGCTTCGTCAACAAACGAGCCATCGTCTGGGCTGTCCACGGGTGCAACAGCCGGAGTGGCGGTAGGCGCTGTCGCTGGAGCATTTCTCATTGCTGGCGCTGGATTCATACTCTGGAGAAGACGGCGGGGCAACAAAGCTCAACCATCGACAATCACGGCAGAAGAAGCACCGAAATATGGATATGCACCGGTCGAAGCACCGGGTGATCACGCTGCGAGGCAGGGACCATGGGAAATGGGAGGGTCGCCTACGCATTTCACGCATGAGTTACCAGCTGACAGCACGGTACAGCATCGAATATGAACGGGGGGATAGGAGCATGGAGTCTGGATATATGCCATCTATTTATTGTTATTTATAGAAACCTATGAGCTTGAAATTGTCTGGCGTTGTCCATCACTGTTCTGTGCTATAAGCTTCAGCTATCAGAACTAGCCTTGATTGAGAAGCCAACCGTCTTCTTCCCGGTCATATCATAGTCCGGATCTTCAGAAACAGTCCATCCAAACAAATCAATCAGCTTCTCCCTTATATTCTCATAGTTTGCCCCGATTCTCAAGACACGTTCATTATTCAAGTCCAAGATAGTCCCGGCCCTCCCATACAGATGCCACTTCTGCCGACCGTAATTAACAACCAAATCTGCTGCTTCAATAATCTCCGGCTCAATGTCCTCCACTCGAAATTTCTGCCCCTGATCCGTCAGGTTGGCACTGCTGCCAACCATTACTAAACCGTTCTCATCGTTTAGACGCGCAAGTTCCCGTGAGAAAGGGCCTTCGCCGATGGCGAAACCTAAAGTACCGTTCTTGACAACCCGGTCAACATTTGGGATAAGCTCAGTCGCCGACTCTTTCAATTTTCCGATGAACGCAACCGTCAATCCTAATTCTTCTGTGAATGTTCGAACGATGGTGTATTTATCATCTGGAACATCATATAGTCGCGTGAGAAGGTTGTATGTTCCGATGACACCCATAGAATGCCCTGCTTTACGCTTCTTGGCGATAAAGATACGCTCGATTGCATCGGTGCTTGCGGCCATCATGCCGTATCCGACATCGGTTGGGGCGATTATGACGCCGCCCTTTTTCAAAACGTCGAAGGCCCTTAGAGCGTCCCGTTTGGCATCTGGAAGCTCGCCAGGCCGTGGTGTCACTCGATCTGAGGCGTTGCTGATCATTTTGTCGATGGAGCGCACAGTAGTAAGACTAGTTGAGACTAGTGGCTGTGAGCTTATGATTATAACGAACTCGAGAGTGGTGGGGGGAAGTGCAGATGTTTCTATGAAATTTATAGCCAAGAGGCTCTGAATTCTGGGTATGAATCAAGATCAAATATTCGGTAAATAAGCACAACTCACTTAGCTTATATATTGATAGGATTGAGTCAATCATGTGATAGCAACGCCCTCACTTTACGTGGCCATTTTGACAAATCTGACACCGGAACGGACGGCATGCAGATCAATTCAACACGTCTGTCAAAAGGACGCTATATTGAAAATAGTACACTTGAATGCACCCAAAATGTCTGATCGTTCCAAAAGTTCCGAGTCAAGCCAATCATTTGGTTACCTGCATGACCAAAGTACGTGCAACTACAGCATCTTTTGGCGTTTTATGGCGTTCGTACGGAGATAAGTCGACAACTCCGTTTATACTGCACGGAAACAGCTCGCGGAGGAGCCTTCAATTGCAATCTAGATAATAGAATATTCTGAGGCTTATTCAAGTCTCAAAAAGCCAACATCTTTACTCCAAACACCTACCATAGACACTAAATGAATAAAATCACAATCTTACCATTTCTCTCTTATCACACTTCGATCTCCTTCTACTGATTCTGCATCCGTTCAGCTCGCTTCTGCTCCGCATGGGCCTTGCGATAGGACGCAATCAACTCCCTGAGAGTCATGGAACCTTTAGGAAGACGCGACTCACTATAGATGTCATCGTCCTTAGCTGGAGAACCTTTCGTCTCTTCGACATCCACAACCTCCTGCACCCCTTCGCTTGGACGACCCTCATCCTTCTGGGTAGCGTGTGTCTCGTCCATCTCATCAGCGGTGATATAGTCGTCTGAATCATCGTCTTCAAGAGTCTCACCCATAGCTTCAGCAGCCTCCCGAGCCTCTGTCTTTTTCATAATCGCAATCCAGCGAGGCAAATTCCTCTTCATGTATCCCAACACCAAGCCGTCCTTCTTCTCCCAATTATAAGGCCAACTCTCTTCCCACGGAACCTCAGCTAGGCGCTTAGAAAGACGAACTAGGTCATCCACATCTACACCAATCTCGATAAGCCTTTTAACCGCGGCATCGTGCTGGGCGGGATCATGGGTTTCGAGATGATTGATGAAACGGATGATCTGACGAGCACCAAAGCTAGTGTTGATGATTCGCTTACGGCATGGCTCGTAGTCTGTGTGATCGAGGGGGTAGAGAGATGTTTTGGAGAAGGTATGATCCTCGTCTAGCTCAATGGGGCTAGGGAGACGGAGCAGAGAAATGTGGCTGCTTCCACTGGTGTTTCGGCTGTGAGACGCCATGGTAATGTATGGTGTTAGAGTGCCAATGATATGAATTCGGAAGGGGTCAGAAGTTGGTGACTCAATTCTGGATGTTAGAGAAGCTTGTTGATCTAAGACGGCGGTATGGTCTCGAGTTGTCCTTTATAAGAAAAAGCCCTTGAGAATATGGTCTTTGTCACATCGTCTGAACAAAGTGAAGCCAGAACGAAAGGACAGTTACAGATCATGCCAGTGGTAGTTAAAAATGCGAGATCTGTTCATGCATGAAAGCAAAGAGGGAACAAAGAAAAATTGGAAAAGGACACGGAACACAAATTCAAGTCTTCACTGACGGAGGTAATGTTTTTGCATGACAATAAGAGCGAAAGCGGCTTGTGGAAAGGAAGAACAATGGGGCAGAGGACCTCAAAGTGAACATTTTCAGCAAAGCGAGAATCGACAGGCCAGTGTTGGGATCGGATCCCCTCGCTTTTGTGCCTTGTGCGCAAACAGACTTGGACCGTTTTCTCGACATGAAAGACTATGTTCTTACAAATTAATAAACGAATCAGGTTGATAGCTTAGTCCACCATACTGTAGAATGAGATACTGCATGAAATCAGTCTACCTTGATAGACCTATGGATGGATTAAGATTGCGGAGATAGATTGAGTTTCAGCCTGTAAGAAATAAAAAGTACTCTTTCTATTCAAAATCTAGAATAAACCGATTTACCGTAAACATTTAATGTCTCGTCCACAATTGATAAAACCTCTCGTTACACAAGATCACTCTCCTTCACCAAGATATCCCGGTTTACCTCACTAATATCCCTCAGTCCAGCCAAGTGCATGTTCATAGTCAAATCACCACACAACGCTCTCAGAACATGCCTCACACCATCCTCACCACCTAACGCCAACCCATAAGCATAGGGCCTTCCAACAAGAACACACTTCGCTCCCAGGGCAACGGCCTTCATGATATCAGCACCGCACCTGATACCACTGTCAAAGAAGATATCAAGTTTATCACCGACAGCATCAACAATTCGCGGAAGCATACCCAAACTGCTCGCTCCACCATCTTGTTGACGACCGCCGTGGTTGCTCACCACAATCCCCTGAACACCAGCCTCAACACACTTCTTGGCATCGTGAACACTCTGTATTCCTTTGAGAACAATGGGCCCGTCCCAGTGCTTCTTTAGAAATTCAATGTCTTCCCAGGAATGGGAATGGCCGGGGAATACGATCTTGGCCCACTCTCTGGCCGCGTCACCGAGACTAGCTCCAGCGGATCCGCCCTGAGCCGCTTGATAGACTCCACTAGCTGCATCAGTGATATCATAGCCGTGCTTCTCCCTGAACTTCTTTTGGAAAACAGGATCTGTCAGACCGATTTCGACGCCGATGTGGTCTGGGTGGATGAAAGGGTTGTAGCCGTTGTCCAAATCGCTCGGACGCCAGCCCAGGACGTAAGTGTCAAGGGTGACGAAAAGAGCCGTGTAGCCGGATGCTTTGGCGCGCTTGAGCATTGAGATGGTGATGTCGTCGTGTTCGCGGCTAGGCCAGTAGAGTTGGAACCATCGAGGCGCATCCTTTCCATTCGCTGCTGCGACATCTTCAATACTAGTGCTTGAAGCTGTGCTTAGTGTATAGGGAACTCCTAGAGATGCAGCGGCTCGAGCAGTAGCAGCTTCACCTTCAGGGTTGAAGACTTTTTGAACCCCAATGGGTGCAATTGCCAATGGGAACGGAAGCTTTTGCCCAAGAACTGTGGTAGAGGTATCAGAGAACTGCTCATTGCCATTCTCATCCCTGTGACTTGGCACAAGGCGATTCGGAACGATGGACCAGCGAGAGAAAGCAGTCAAGTTGTTCCTGTATGTTGAGCCACTACCACAATTTCCGTGGATGTAGCCCCAAGAAGTTGCCGAGAGTGTCTCTTTCGCCAAAGGCTCCCACTGCGAGGTTTGGAAAGTAAACGCAGGACGAGCAAAGTGAAGACCAGCGTCAAAAGTAGATTTCTCGTAACCGAGAACGTCAGCGCTTGGTGATGCCATGATTAATGCGAGTGGTTGCTTGCTGTGTTTGTATTTGGAAGATGATGGATGAAACATCTCTCCAAGAAAATGCAACTATGGTATTATATATATTTCCAAACATGCTTCTGACCTCGGTTATCGTGACAATTGCATCACAGAAGATCCATAACACTGTCACCGAAAATTCTAGTGTTCAGCCTTACAGGTGCAATGATGTAAATTAAAGCGGTTCGATCGGATATCTCGGACCGGACAAGTGCCCGCTGCATCGGCTTTCCACCGATGTTCAACCTTCAGCGGAGGCTAAAATCCGCGAAAGAGCCGCTAGGACACTAGCTTTTTGAGCCTCATTCGATATGATCGTTTGAAATTCATTATTCGAGATTATGGCCGAATAATTCCAGGTTTTGGATGAACGTTCTGCTATAAACGGTCCGATTGGCATGACGTATAGAAGTTGGTACAGATACCGGACGGGCATGAGAGATCTAATCGTGATATTCTAGCAGCTGATAGCTCCCGATTGATCTGAATTGAATTGGATGCCAAGATAGAGTCGGCAATGCCTAACCAGGTTACGATATTCAGACTGCTGACCTAAGAGGTACTAGAGTCGAACCCGAACAAGTCATCAAACACCATCATATCCCGACTCGTAAGTGCCTCATCTCCGGTGCCATAGTGATTGAAGCCAGGCTGAGACATCGGTGCAAAGTCCTCCTGTGCCATCAAAGGGGCTTCGAACACAAAGCTTTGAATGATCCGATCAATGTCAAAATCGGAAACCTCCAGGTTAGAGAAGTCAACTGCCGTGTCAGGCGTTGGCTGCTGCGTGACTGACACGTCGGGCTCTTGGTACATGATGTCAGGACCAATTTCAGATAGATCAGATAAATCAATCTGTCCTAGGTGACCGTCTTGACAGCTTGTCGGTTCTATCGCCACAAACTCCCCGACGTTGACTCCCAAGCGGTTCATAATACCAAGAAGAATCTTCATCGTTCGCTTTGGGGCGTGGCACCACGTCTGCTGTTCGGATAAAATCTCCAAGCAATTTCTGAGACACGCATGCGCTTGTGATCCTGGACTTTTCTGCGCCGCCATACGCACATGAATGGTTGCACTCACGTACGTGGCATACGATATAAAGTAGGGCGCTGTACGAAAACAAAAGTGCTGCTTGTAAATTTGAAGGATCTGGTGGATCTCTATCGCAGCTGTGACACAGTTGAAGAAGGCTTCAGGAGCGACTGTTGCAGAGGCGGATGTCAGGTGGCCTTCTGAAAGAAAAGGACGATAGATCAAGATGATGAGGGAGTTGAACAATGATCTGCTCAAGTTAGTGCGTGCACAACAGAGCCAAACAACAAACGCACAGCAGTGACAGATTGTGGGGAAGGATGTTGGAGGAAGTAGGGTCATTCAGATCAACTCTCAGACACTCCGGCAATCCATCCTTCCAAGATTTCAGATCGTGGTGAAGCGATTGTGCAGACTGCCATATTTGATCAGCAGTCTTTGTGGCGCTTCTCTCCGCATAAAGAGCGCAAAGAATACGATCCATGATAATGCTGAGTCCGCAAAGTTGCCCAAACGTGGAGACACTATACGTCGGACAATCCAACTGAGACGGTTGAGCAGAATACCCTCGGGTATGAAAATCCTCCAGTTCTTCATATTCATCGACAAACACGATCGGTACACGGTTGTCATGTTCGCGTAACCGAGTTGGACGGCCTTGGTAGATAGACTGGACCTTGTCCGAGACTAGAAAGATCAGCTAGACATAAATCTACGGGTCTTCGGATGCTTACTGAATGTTGCCCAGAAGACACGACGCTCGATCTCCGTATCCTCAACAGATACTTTCTTTGAAGATCTCCGAGCTGGGCCATCGATGTGCAGACCAAGATCGATTATCATACTAATCGCGATACCTAAGTAATGCCACGAGAGACTCCTCTCATTACACCATGAGAATAGCGCATCCGAAACGACTAGCAGCGCCTGGATGGTGGTTATTTCACTCTTGAACAACACCCGAGAGCCACAGGCGTGCAAGGCCTGTTCAAACTTGATGCGATATGGACGCCCAATGGAATTAAGCCTGCCAGTGTTTCGGAGAGCGGCTGCATCAACTGTATGCATAGAGCCAGCAAAGAGCATGGCCGTGAGGAGGAGATCAGAGTAGTAAAGACCGTTGCATGCCATGTCGCGCATAAAGGCTGGTCGATACACGATAGAGCCAATGTAGTGCTGGCGGTTCCAGAACTTGGAAAGAAGATCCATACCGACTTTGGGGCTGATGTCACCAAAGTCCAGTTTTCCTGCTCTGAGGTTGACCTTTTCAAGTTGACCTGATTTGAATGAGCATCTAGAATTGAATCTCGAGTGATATATACTCACGTTGCCTAGTTGTCTCTGCCAAAAGTTGGTTCTTGGCAATCTCGTCGGAGCTGGTTATACGAGACGAGTCTCTGGCAGTCCCTATGTGTATAGCTCCGCTGGAAGGGCCATGAAACGCGGCACCCTCGGGTTGCCCGATCGATAAGTGGTAAGAAGGAGAGGCAGCTTGCCCCTTTGCTTGATAAGTCTGATCGTTAATGATGTTCAGCGTAATTGTAGATTCAGTGGGATTCGGGGTTTCATCCAGATGGTTTCCTACTTGCTGGGTATCGGAATGTACGCTGCTCAACTCTGGACTCCTTGAACACAACTGATCGCGTAAGCGAGCATTTTCCTCCTCTAGTTTCTGTATGCGCGCATTAGACGGTCTGCTCAAGCATGTTAGCACCAGCCCTGCATGACTTCTTTGCAATTTTACCTAGCCTGAGCAGTTCTCTGAGAATATGTACATTCAATGGCCCGACCCTGGCAATTTTCGCACTTTGGCTTCGCGTTATCGCAACCAAGCTAGACAAGGTCAGCAGATAAGTCGCATCATGTTGAATGTACTGCTACCTTTCGCCTTCGGCAAAAGTCGCAAGCGGCAGATGCGCGCTGGGATCTACGTTGAGATGATTTCATGATGGCGGGACGGATGTTGACGGGCCGTGGTGCTGAAGGAAGATGATGGTCCGCTCACCAGGGGAGGTGAGGTGAGATATTTTGAAGATGACATAAGCGGACAGACACATCCCGCCACTCCACCTTAAAGTAAGGTGAGGTATCCTTTGAATTTTATCATGTCAGACTGCCGTCTAATATTGATGCGATTTTGGTACATTATTTCTCTGCACTTTGTATTTGACTAGATACAAGTAGACTGGCGTATCCCATAAGCCGGTACAACTGAGCCCGGCTATACGGGATTACCGATGCGTCTCCAAAGCGCCTGAACAATCATAAGCAGCGCGTTCGGGAAGTCCCATATCAGAGAAAGACTGAAATAAGCAAAACTACCGTTCTGCAGTGATTCGTTCCACAGCTTGAGCACGAAACTACCTACGTACGTCAGGACGTATGAAGCTGGGGCTTTGACCAAGTTGCAAGCGAAGAGGCCAAGAGTGGGGTCAGTTCAACCAGCCAGAGCACAGTGCCTTGGGCCTTTTGGCTTAGCCTGTAAGAAAATATTCGGCACAATCCTCCACTTCAAGGAATGATTGCTCGGTACTTAATTTCCTTTTAGCTTTAAACCTTCCTTACCAACGCGGCGATAAACAATTTTATCTCAGCCCTATCGGTATCCTATTTAGGATGCTTTTCATTGTCTAGTGCCATATGAATAATCGTGATTCCAGCTTTACAATTGCGTCTCTTATTGTGTGTCCTGTGACGATCCTGAAATAGATTCAACCTTCATTTCTATTTCTTTTCCATTTCTTTTCCATTTGTCTATTCTTTCCATTTCAGTCAAACATGCAATAAGGCACATGCCACACAAAAACTAAAGAGCATGCCTGTTATCGAAGTCATCCTCAACCAAACGCACTCCTTCAATAACCCTTCCCATATCCGTCTTGTCAATAGTCCCACAGTCTTGCCTGACCTTTTCCAAAAGCTCCTTCAAAAACATCGCAGGGCTCTTGGTAAAACCACATTGACTCCCACTACCACCAACAGCATCGTCATCCAGCCGGTCCCATGCCAAACAAAGCAAGTCACAGACAAGCTTGTAGTCGTCATAAGACGACAGATAAAGCTGCCCAGCAAAGAGATTGAGAAACGTAATGATGTCTCTCGGCATCTCCTACACGACCTTCTTCCCCACGGAATAAAGCTGAAGGTCATCCAGCGATTGAAACCCAAGGTTGATCCTCGGCGCGTAAAGGTGCAGAGCAACATGCTCTGACTCTTCGATAAGCGGAAGAAAGTGCTGCGCCTCAAATGGACTTATAACCACTATTCGAGGAGCACCCTCCTCGTTCTTACCAACCAACACCCACTGCACAGGACGTTGATAGGAGTCCGAGTAGTTCTTCCCACCAAACGCACCTTTGACAGTATGCGCAAAGTCCATACTCACCCATACCGTCTCAGGGAACTCCTTGACGTCGAAGTGCACAGCTGCCGAAGTCTTGTTCAGGCTCTGAAACGCGGGTTTCATTACAGTTCGGAAGGCAGTAGAGGACTCTGGGAATGAGCCATGTGCTATCCACTCCTGCAGAAGCCTGTTGACACTATGGGTGTCGGGCTTCAGGGCAGGGACCTTTTCGACTTGTCGCTCGTGTTGTGTTTCTGGCGCCAGCTCTCGTTCTTGCTCCTCCTGTAGAGAGCAAGTGCGTAGCCTTTCCAGGCCGAACTCTTCGCATCGGGACTTGAAGATCTTTGCGGCGGAGTCATTCAGCCCTCCTGTGAGTGAAGAAAGGTCGGCCAGACCTTTCTGGGGGATGTATCTTTCCCTCAAGCTCTGTCCCTCCTCTTCGAGAAACTCATCCGGCTTGATGTTATCATCAGAGATGCGGGACCAGAGGGCTTCTTGCTTAAAGAACCTAACGCCCTGCATAAGCCAAAGTGGCATAGCCCTCTTCAGGTCATGACATGTCTCAGTAATAGCCCAGCAAAGGACATCAGAAACG